GGCTGGGGATTCGAACCCGCCACCTTAGGTGTATGTGGCTGGCGCCTTAGCCGCTTGAGCCACAGGTGCCGAGTCTATTATTTTTTTTAATTTTAATTCTTAGTTGCATATACAAGACAAGGCGGAACTGTCTGGTGAGGTCACATGGCTATGAACAACTAAAGTACTCTGCTGAGCAATGGGGTACCCAGAGCTCCAGTGGTGCAATTGGTTAGCACATGGTACTACTATGATAATGCAAGCCGAGTGATACCAGGGTTGTGAGTTCAAGTCTCACCTGGAGCACTTTTTTTTTTTTTTGAGACACAGTCTCACTATGTCACCCTCCGTAGAGGGCCGTGGTGTCACAGCTTATGGCAAGCTCAAACTCCTGGGCTTTAGCAATTCTCTTGCCTTAGCCTCCTAAGTAGCTGGGGCTATAGGTGCCCACCACAATGCATGGCTATTTTTTGTTGCACTTGTCATTGTTGGTTAGCTGGCCTAGGCTGAGTTCGAACCTGCCAACTTCAGTGTATGTGGCTGGTGCCGTAACCACTGTGCTACAGGCGCCAAGCCTGAAGAAATGTTTTAAAATTGACTGTGGTGGTGGTCATATCTATCTCTGAATATATTAAACCCATCCAACTGTACACTTCACATAGGTAAATTATATGGTGTGAATTACATCTCAATAAAATAGTTTAAGGAGAGAGAGAAAATACTTCCCAGATAATTTGAATGTGGAGCTGAGTTTGAGACCCCCTAAAGAAGTTGAAAAAGCACAAGCTTGAAGTTAGAACAAAACAACTGTGCCGTTAGGTGACCCAGCTGTGCATTCTGAGCCTCATTTTCCTCATCTAGAGAATGAGGATAATAATTTCCATCTCATAAGCTTGGAAAGAGGATTTACTGTGGAAAACAAATGCAGGCACGTGCAGGGTACTTCACAAGCCCGCACGTTATTAAAGGGAGCTATTGCCATTGCTGTTTTCCTTTTCTGCCTGAAGGCTTGCGGGGCCAGCATCAGAAATATCAGTTGTCACTGTACTGGCTGAGGAGAAGGTGCTCTGAAGAGCGGTGGAGACCAGGCCAAATGCATTATCTTAACGTAGACTCCAAAAAATGTCCTGTGTGCTCGTAATAATATTTTTGGCCACATCACAAAGCCTGCGTTCTTCCCACGAGTAAGACTGCCGCGTCATTGTTCACCAAGGCAATGTGATTGCTTCTTTTCTTTTTGTCATTAAAGCTTATGGAAGACGAAACACTGGCCCACAGTGGGATCTACTGGTATGTGCTTGCCTTTCATCGCATTCTTGCCATCCAGTTGTGTCAAATCTACTGTGTAATACGCCTCTCAGATTCACCACATGTAACCCTTTACTGCTACTACCGTAGATCAGGTCTCTAGCATCACTTGCCTAATGATGGTAACATCCTCCTTAGTTGCTTCTACTCTTTTTCTCCCTCCAAATCCTTCTTTACACTGCAGCCAGAGTGCTCTTAGTAAAATGTCAATCTGATCAAATCACTTTTGTTTAAAGAGCTCCCAATGATGTAAAACCCTTCAGTGGTTCCCTATAGCTTTTAGAGTCCAACCCCTGTCTAACCCTGCAGCCTCAGCTCTTGCTACTCCCTGCCTCCTACATATCTTTTGAAATTGGCCATGTCTTTCCAGCTCCACATTCCAAATCCAGTTTTTTTTTTCTTTTCTTTT